CAGGCGATTAACAATGCATAAGCAACAGGGCTCCATTAAGGAACATATAATCTCTTCCCACAACCAGACCATCACCAGAGAGGTCTTAATAAACAACACAGAAATCATCGATAGATACAGCGATAGCAGGCGGCTTGACATCTGCGAGGCACTACACATTAAGAAGTCAACACCAGCAATCAACAGCCAATTAATGCACAACTATATTCTACCCACTTCAAGACTCCGCACCAATATAGAAGCATCAAGAAATATGGGCCAATAGGCCCTTTGCAGTTACTCCCATTCTTCCCTCTCATTTATCCAATTTATACCCATTGCTCCATGTTCTGTCTTGTGTTGAAAGTTTGTTCACCTCATCCAAAACTGTTGCAACATATCACCTCACCCAAATGCGAGTGTATAAGACAAACTGTTTAAAACGTTAGCATAGTAAAACTCTGTTTAGTGTTTTCAGGTTACAGTTGTGTGTGTGTAAACTAAAATCTTTGAAAATGTAATAAGTTATTACGAAACGCGTTCAAGCGTCGCGTCAGACTAGAAATAAAAATGAATTTTGGAGAATTGATTTTTCAATTACCATCGACAGTAAAAAGAAACCTAAGAAATATAGAGAAAATTCGTGCTAGAATTATTAATCTTACTTTTTCGGTCATATTTAATAATATATATATATATATATATATATATATATATATATATATATATATATATATATATATATATATATATATATATATATATATATAATGTGTGTGTGTAAATCACGAAAATTCACACGTGATGAAAAATGTGACAAAATGTGAAACTATATTATTATATATTTATATATAATGTAATTTTGAATCGACTTAGCTCCATCGACATCTACGCCTGACCTGTGCCACTCTTGCACTGAAAAGTCATTTCTGACATCTCTGTGACTCACTTGTGTCTCAAGTTGCCATCCATGACCCCGGGGTCAGCTGCTCCTAGCTTTAAACAATGCTGCTTTGTCAATTTCCTTTCGAAACCTATATGTTGTTATCATGCCTCCCCCCCCCCCTCCTCTTTCCTTTCTTCCAGCGTAGTCAGGTCCCGCTCTCCCAGTCTTTCCACACAGCTCAAACCCTTCAGCTCAGGAACGAGCCTCCGTGCATATCAATAAACCTTCTCTAGCTTGTCCTTGTGTTTTATCTGGTGAGGGTTCCATGCTGGGGCTGCACATTCAAGAGTGTGTCTCACCCTTGCATTGGTCAGTATGCAACATGCAGTTGTTGTTATTGAACTCATCTCATTTTTTTTCATGCTATGTATCTGTTATCATTTTATTAATTCTGCTAGAATTTACCTACTTAAAATTATCTGTTAGATTAAGGACCTGCCCGAAACGCTGCGCGTACCAGTGGCTTTACAAGATTGTAAATACTATGCTATGTATTCTCTCTAACCCAACGTACCTTCTTGTATATAAATAAATAAATAAATAAAAAACTAAAGTGGGCTTCTGGCAGCTGATCTGAGGTTGTGTCCACTCCCAGGTCTTTCTCCTTTTCTGTTAAAACAATCTCTTTTCTCTTCATCCTACACCTCTATGCTGGTCTGCGCACTCTTCTTCCAATCCTCATAACTTTGCATTTGGCTGGGTTAAATTCTATCAACCCTTTTTCAGACCATGTCTAGAGTATGTCCAAAACCGTTTGCAATATGTCACAATCTCTGTCCTGAAGCGTGTCATTAGTATTGTACCATCTGCAAACGCTGATATATAGGAGAGGGGGCGAGGGGGGGAGTTAGACTGCGTGGTTTTGAGTGAAATACACCTATCCGCCCCACGTGGGGGGGGGGGGAGTGGCTGAATCACTAGATGCCATTGTCTGTTAGCACCCAGCGTCTGTTGATGAGTATTAGCGGATACATACACCTCTCACGATCTTCATGTGTACTTCCAATTAACACACACACACACACACACACACACACACACACACACACACACACACACACACACACACAATAAAACCATCTGCTTAATCTTTTGAATCAGTGATGTTACTATTGTGCTGCTTCAATTGTGGATATTTTCCAATACTTGTGATTTTTATATTGACAAAGAAAATATAATGGAAAAAGCATGATTTTAGTGTGATGGGTCTCTGTCTGTCTCTGATTACAGTTCATTTGGAACGGTGCTATTGTTCAGTCACCAACACAAGCCTTGGAATCAGGGATTAGATGTAATAGATCGCTGAAGTGATGGTCCCACAACAAGGGATCAGGCACACTACCCTGGGGCACTGTGGCACCAATTTCAGTGGCACTCAGGTTTCACTCGTTTGATGACGTCCCTTCAGAGTGCATGCACTCTTGAGGGTGGATCCCAGTTCGTTGCAGGGTGGAGCCCGAGGTGGTGGTGGTGTCAGCCGTCCAGGGCGCCAGGGGTGACGGCGCCAGGGGTGACGGCGCCAGGGGTGACGGCGCCAGGGGTGACGGCGCCAGGGGTGACGGCGCCAGGGATCACGGCGCCAGGGGTCACGGCGCCAGGGGTCACGGCGCCAGGGGTCACGGCGCCAGGGATCACGGCGCCAGGGGTCACGGCGCCAGGGGTCACAGCGCCAGGGATCACGGCGCCTGGGGTCACGGCGCCAGGGATCACGGCGCCAGGGGTCACGGCGCCAGGGGTCACGGCGCCAGGGGTCACGGCGCCAGGGGTCACAGCACCAGGGGTCACGGCGCCTGGGGTCACGGCGCCTGGGGTCACGGCGCCAGGGGTCACGGCGCCTGGGGTCACGGCGCCAGGGGTCACAGCGCCTGGGGTCACGGCGCCTGGGGTCACGGCGCCTGGGGTCACGGCGCCAGGGGTCACGGCGCCAGGGGTCACAGCACCAGGGGTCACGGCGCCTGGGGTCACGGCGCCAGGGGTCACGGCGCCAGGGGTCACAGCACCAGGGGTCACGGCGCCTGGGGTCACGGCGCCAACAATGTGTTGTTGGTCTCGAAGTCGTCCAGTGATGGACATCACTTAGTGTACACTAAGTGATAAGTGTACTTGTACACTGATCACAGTGAACAAGTTCAACAAAAGAACACCAGTAGAATTATTTTTCCCGCAGCCCCAGCAGGCCATGTGTTCACCTAGTTGTACTCGCCTAGTTGTGCTTGCGGGGAATGAGCTCTGCTCTTTCGGCCCACCTCTCAGCTGTCAATCAATCAACTGCACATCAATGTGTGCCGGGAGCTCTGCAAGAATGCACCATTTGATCCCCCAAACTGTGGACTTTCCACCACCCGTTCTACCTTCTGGTATATAAATATAAATAAATAAGGTGTCGACCACCTAATTACCGATGATAGTAACAAATATTGGTTGTTTATGTGCACGAGAACAAGACCTGCCATCGTCCACAGGGCGGGCCGCGGCCCCTGAGATGAGCAGGGTGGCAGGGTGACAGGGTGGACGGGTGGCAGGGTGGCAGGGTAGACGGGTGGCAGGGTAGACGGGTGGCAGGGTAGACGGGTGGCAGGGGGCGGTCAAGCCACCACATCAACACACCTCTGGCTGGCAGCAGCCTCACCTGTGCAGAGTGGTTTAAGGAGGTGGTGGACGTCGTTGTGTTTAATAACCACTATTCACTCCTTTGTCAGTTGTGGTTAGTAAACAGGTGTGAGAGTGACGGGAAATTGATGGTGGAGTGAGGCAACTGCTGGAGGAGTGAGGGAAGGAGTGAGGCAACTGCTGGAGGAGTGAGGGAAGGAGTGAGGCAACTGCTGGAGGAGTGAGGGAAGGAGTGAGGCAACTGCTGGAAGAGTGAGGGAAGGAGTGAGAGAGAGGTAGCAGCTGGAGGAGGCGCGGCAGGAACGAGAGAGAGAGAGAGAGAGAGAGAGAGAGAGAGAGAGAGAGAGAGAGAGAGAGAGAGAGAGAGAGAGAGAGAGAGAGAGAGAGAGAGAGAGAGAGAGAGAGGGAGGCAGCAGCTGGAGGAGGCGCGGCAGTACTCAGGAAATGCTCCATCTCTCACGACCTCCGCCACACGTCTGGTTATTGTGCGATGGTGGCGGCGAGGGGTTGGGGGTTGTTGGGGTGTTTGAGGTTGTGGGAGAGTGTTAGCGGGTTTGCGTTGTGTTGGGGATTGAAGGTGTTGGCGTTGTGGGAGATGTTGGGATTGTGAGAGGTTTTGGGGTTGTGGGTTGCTCCCCACAACACCTTGATCCTACTCACCACAACACCTTTAACCGGCTCCCTATAACCTCCTGAATCTCCTCCTCGTAACTCCCTAAACCGGCTCTCCATAACCCCTGAACCGGCTACCCATAACCCCCTGAACTGGCTTCCCATAACCTCGTGAACCGGCTCCCCATAACCTCGTGAACCGGCTCCCCATAACCTCGTGAACCGGCTCCCCATGACCTCGTGAACCGGCTCCCCATAACCTCGTGAACCGGCTCCCCATAACCTCGTGAACCGGCTCCCCATAACCTCGTGAACCAGCTTCCTATAACTCCCTAAACTGCCTCCCCATAACCCCCTGAACCGGCTCCCCATAACCCCCTGAACCTGCTCCCCATAACGCCCCTTACAATCATAACCTCCCATAACAAAATCACCGAGCGTACAGTCCGTGCCCTTGTTGTCCGGAGTTAGCGTCCCCTAGTGATGCTCAGGAGCGCTTGACCTTAGTATCCGCTCCCCATTACCGACCCGTTGATCACCACCGGTCAGACCCCATCTCTGCAACATCCCCTCCCCCCCCCACACTACCCCATCCCTAATCACCCCATGATCCACCCCAGACCCTCCCCCCCAACCCCTGACGGTAGCACGGTGGGAGCCACTGATTACAACCACAAGCTTCACCTCATTACCAGCGACGATTGGCTGGCGGCAGATGGTCCTTCGAACCGTACCGTGACGTCACGCCAGATCAATATGCTTGACCGAGCGACTCCGAAAATTTATTTTATTGCGTCAGGGAAGTTCTGGCTCACACTCCCATGGTTGTCTGCTGTCGTCATGGTGCGCTGGCATGGTTGGTGTCATGACTGCTGGCATGGTTGGTGTCATGGCTGCCGGCATGGTTGGTGTCATGGCTGCCGGCATGGTTGGTGTCATGGCTGCTGGCATAGTTGGTGTCATGACTGCCGGCATGGTTGGTGTCATGACTGCCGGCATGGTTGGTGTCATGACTGCCGGCATGGTTGGTGTCATGACTGCCGGCATGGTTGGTGTCATGACTGCCGGCATGGTTGGTGTCATGACTGCCGGCATGGTTGGTGTCATGACTGCCGGCATGGTTGGTGTCATGACTGCCGGCATGGTTGGTGTCATGACTGCCGGCATGGTTGGTGTCATGACTGCCGGCATGGTTGGTGTCATGACTGCTGGCATGGTTGGTGTCATGGCTGCTGGCATGGTTGGTGTCATGACTGCTGGCATGGTTGGTGTCGTGACTGCCGGCATGGTTGGTGTCATGACTGCCGGCATGGTTGGTGTCATGACTGCCGGCATGGTTGGTGTCATGACTGCTGGCATGGTTGGTGTCATGGCTGCTGGCATGGTTGGTGTCATGACTGCCGGCGTGGTTGGTGTCATGGCTGCTGGCGTGGTTGGTGTCATGACTGCTGGCGTGGTTGGTGTCATGGCTGCTGGCATGGTTGGTGTCATGACTGCCGGCGTGGTTGGTGTCATGGCTGCTGGCGTGGTTGGTGTCATGACTGCCGGCATGGTTGGTGTCATGGCTGCTGGCATGGTTGGTGTCATGACTGCTGGCATGGTTGGTGTCATGACTGCCGGCGTGGTTGGTGTCATGACTGCCGGCATGGTTGGTGTCATGACTGCCGGCGTGGTTGGTGTCATGACTGCCGGCATGGTTGGTGTCATGACTACCGGCATGGTTGGTGTCATGGCCGCTGGCATGGTATGTATCATGTATGCTGCTATAACACACAACAATGTTGGCTATCACTACACTTGGTTTTACCCGGTGTATCATAGCATGATACAATGTATACATATGTATCATAACATATGTATGCACTGTGTGTATCATAGCATGACACATACAATATATATATACATATTGTATCATAACATATGTATGCACTTCATTATTTTACACTATGTATCTTCGCCTGGCTGTCACTACACATATTGACACATACTATCACCGCATGTGTACCCCTCTAACCTCCACCATCATACACCGCCTGTCATATGCCACCCGTCATACACTATTCATTCACCACCTGTCATATATCACCTGCCATACACCGCTTGTCATATACTGCCTATCATTCACGATTCATATATGAATCATATATTGATTAATAAATAAATTCAAGTATAAATTCATGAATGAATTCACACATGATTCACATATGAATCATGTACCACCTGCAATACATGTGTCATATACATGTCATACGCTGCTTGTTATGTATTATCTGTCATATACTGCGTATTCTTACATCATATATCTTGGCATTTGTCATATATTAGTAATATACCACTTGTCATACCATACATCTCTTGCCGCCAATATTGATATAAGATATATGCTGTGTCCACTCACTGTGTCAGGCTCACCTGTCATGCCGTGCTTACGGTGTAACTGTGTTGTGAGTCTCTAGTTTATATTAGAGTTGCTTTTGAAGAACATTATAAGGTTGTGAAGAACATTAGAAGGTTGTGAAGAACATTAGAAGGTTGTGAAGAACATTAGAAGGTTGTGAAGAACATTAGAAGGCTGTGAAGAACATTAGAAGGTTGTGAAGAACATTAGAAGGTTGTGAAGAACATTAGAAGGTTGTGAAGAACATTAGAAGGTTGTGAAGAACATTAGAAGGTTGTGAAGAACATTAGAAGGTTGTGAAGAACATTAGAAGGTTGTGAAGAACATTAGAAGGTTGTGAAGAACATTAGAAGGTTGTGAAGAACATTAGAAGGTTGTGAAGAACATTAGAAGGTTGTGAAGAACATTAGAAGGCTGTGAAGAACATTAGAAGGTTGTGAAGAATCTTATAATCTTCATGAGTGTTGGCCAGGATACAGTGATGCAAAGTCAGGCCTATATGTGGAAAGCCATAAAAATGTCAACGTTAATGGGCTCCATTAACAATGGGGGAACCAAGCGTCAGTGTGTTCACTGTCAATGGCTCTCTACGCCAGACTAACGCTAGCCAGTAGGCACCGTGGCTAGGGAAGGAAGCATCAGAGTCCTGCCTCAGAGTCCTGCCTCAGAGTCCTGCCTCAGAGTGTACAGTTAACCTGTACAGTTAAGCAGACGAGAGTGGAGGTTGGCCTTGAGTTTAGGAGCGCGTGAATTACTGAAAGACTCGAATGGCACTTGTCGTAGACTAATTATTCCCGGTGGAACACTCCTAAAATACCTGGATAAAGAGAGTAAGTCGGGGTTGTTCCATTGGTATTTACATATTAATTGCCTGGTGTAGGAACTTGAGCTGCCAGGATGTGTAAGGTTTAATTATTGTGTTTAATTCAGTCTCAAGAGTTGTGGACTGTAAATTGTCTTTGTTTTAATTAATTCTTTCAGTCATGTCTATGTGTAGCTGCTTGTAAGTAAGTAATAAAATCCTTTGGCTCCCTGTGGTATCTGTCCAGGCCGTCTTGCCCAACGGTTCCGCCATCACTAAAGTGCTGTTGTACTGTCCGGACGTTGTACTCAACTGTCCGGACGTTGTACTCGACTGTCCGGACGTTGTACTCGACTGTCCGGACGTTGTACTCAACTGTCCGGACCTAAACTGTCCTCCCTCCCCCCCCCCTCCCCCCGCTAGCTCCAGCCAAAGCTACAGAGATTGGGCTCATTTTGTTTACAAAATATCGACCAATAACAAAATGTGAACGAACCTACGAATAGCCAATATCAGAGTACAGTCACTAGTTTAGTTCTACGGTACTTACCCTACTTTACTAGTAACGTAAGTACCCTATCTCTTAAGGTAGAGTACTTACCTAGCTAATAAGTGGAAGTATTCCCAGGTGTCGTCTGGGCATTATTTGCGGCGGGTGAGGCGGGTTTCGCCGCACTCAAATTTGCAAAAGGTAATTAATGCGGTTTGCAACAAGCGGCGAGGCAAGGCGCCGAGACGTGAGTAGTGTAGATCTTACAGTAGTGTGTTGTGTCATGCTCAGCCAGTGTGTCATATGAGCTCCTTGTGTCACGTCCACCCATTGTGTCATATCTGCCCATTGTACCTGAGCCACCGTTGTGTCATTTTCACCCTTAGTGTCATGTCCGCCTGTTGTGTCATGGTTTATGTGAGGGGGTCACATATTGTCATGTTCACCCATTGTGTCGTGTCCACCTGATGTGTCATGTCTGCCCCATTGTGTCATGCTCTATGGCTCTCTTGTTTGTGTCAGTCACCACAAAATATCTGAAGCATATTGATTATTACACATCTATAACACTTGGCACTTGCTAACTTCTCATGTGCTGCTGATGTTGTTTTGTTCACATGAACCTCTGGTGTTAGTATTAAGATTATGTCTACGCCCAGGTCACTTGCTCTTATTGTTTCTTGTAATTGTCTTCCCCTTATGGTGTAGTTAAATACAGGTCTTGTCTCCCTAACCCATTCTCATTACTTTACACTTATTTGGATTGACTTCCAGCAGCCATTTATCTACCCTCTCCTAAAGTTTGTCAAGGTCTTCATGCAGCACCTTCTTCTTGAGGTTATCTTAAGGTTATCTTGAGATGATTACTACGGTCCTCTTAGTACCCGACCCTAGTACATTCCTCTTCGGGTCTTATTTATTAACTTTACATCATGTGTAAACATTGATATTTACGAGCTCACTCCCTTTAGGGAGGTCATTTACATAAATTATCAAGGGCGAAGGTCGTTGGACACAACCCTGTGGAACACCACTTTCCACTCCTCTCCAGCCTGGCATAGCCTCTTGGACATCACCCTTTTCTTCCTGTCGTCAAGTTCTCCCACACCTAGTCGAGTGCCCTTCCTGTCACCCCCTCCTGTCTCTCCCACACCTAGTCGAGTGCCCTTCCTGTCACCCCCTCCTGTCTCTCCCACACCTAGTCGAGTGCCTTCCTGTCACCCCCCTCCTGTCTCTCCCACACCTAGTCGAGTGCCCTTCCTGTCACCCCCTCCTGTCTCTCCCACACCTAGTCGAGTGCCCTTCCTGTCACCCCCTCCTGTCTCTCCCACACCTAGTCGAGTGCCTTCCTGTCACCCCCTCCTGTCTCTCCCACACCTAGTCGAGTGCCCTTCCTGTCACCCCCTCCTGTCTCTCCCACACCTAGTCAAGTGCCTTCCTGTCTCTCCCACACCTAGTCGAGTGCCTTCCTGTCTCTCCCACACCTAGTCGAGTGCCCTTCCTGTCACCCTCTCCTGTCTCTCCCACACCTAGTCGAGTGCCCTTCCTGTCACCCTCTCCTGTCTCTCCCACACCTAGTCGAGTGCCCTTCCTGTCACCCCCTCCTGTCTCTCCCACACCTAGTCGAGTGCCTTCCTGTCACCCCCCTCCTGTCTCTCCCACACCTAGTCGAGTGCCTTCCTGTCATCCCCCTCCTGTCTCTCCACAACCTTTCTGACAGTCTGGGAAGATAATAACCTTCCCAGATGGGTAGGTAAGGAGGGCAGATGTCTTCCCATCCTAACCCTTCCCATATTTTGGTGAATTTGTCGTAGAATTAAATCAAGTTTGTTAAGCATAATTTCCCCCCCCCCCTCTATGAAGTCGTGTTCCGTCGCTGTTATGAAACCGTCTCCCCCCCCCCTTTATGTTCTACAGTTCTTGTTCTGATTACTTGTTCTAGAAACTCGCCTGGAATGTATATTAATGCACGGGTCTAGTTTAGTGCTTCATGTCTGTCCCCTTTCGTGGATATTGGAATTATACTTGCCTTTTCCCAGATATCTGGCAGTTCTCCCATACCTCGTGTCATGCTGAACACTTTAGTTCATTGGTGACCCAACATCCCAGGAGCTTCCTTCAGTACCTCGTGGTCACAGCTGGTCTGGTCTCAATGCTTGTGCTACATCCAGTTCCTCCAAGTGTGTTTTGATCCCTTCTACACTACGTTCAGTTCTTGTCTAGTGTTGTTTCTGGTTGTCTGTTGTCACTTCTACTTGCATACCCCCCAGATACCGCCCCTCCCCCCTCCTCCCGCTGCCATACCACACAGGCCACTTGTAACTAACCGAGGATGTTGTAAGTAAACCTTCACACGCTGCCTACCAACTGGCGCCCAAGATTCCCAACCCTCAGGAGCCATAATATGAACCCTCTCCCCAGGACTCACAGCATGAACCTCCTCCCCAGGACTCACAGCATGAACCTCCTCCCCAGGACTCACAGCATGAACCTCCTCCCCAGGACTCACAGCATGAACCTCCTCCCCAGGACTCACAGCATGAACCTCCTCCCCAGGACTCACAGCATGAACCTCCTCCCCAGGACTCACAGCATGAACCCCCTCCCCAGGACTCACAGCATGAACCTCCTCCCCAGGACCCAGTACGAGTTCTCCGCCAAAATGAGCCCGCTCCCCCTTACTCGGAGTAGAGCTGGGGTGTGTTCCGGGAGTTCTTCTACTCCCCAAGCCCGGCCTGGGGCCAGGCTTAACTTGTGAGAGCTGGGTCCAACATAATTGTTAACGTTGCTATGTGGGCCCGCAGGCTCAGATGCCCACCACAGCTCAGTTGATCCGGCACTTCTTGCATGAAACTGTCAATTTTTTCCTCGAGGTCCACTTATGTTCCAGCAATATTTCTTGTGCTCCTGGGAGAGTGTTGAACAGCCGTCGACCTCTGATGTTCATACAGTGAGGAGTAGAGGTGCCTATGGCACCTCTACTCCTCACTGGCTCTATTCTACATTTCCATTCGTATGGTTCAAATCAGTATATTGTTTTTCTACTGTGCAAATTTGATATCTGTTCCAGTATTTTCCATGTATATATTTTGTGATACATTTCTCGTCTCCTTTCCAGAGTCTCCTTTACATTTTGAGAACTTTGAGACGATCCCAATAGTTTCGTCTTTTATCGTGTCTATGCGTGCCGAATATGTTCTCTGTGTTCTCTCTATGTCAGCAATCTCTCCTGCTCTGAAGGTGGGGGGGGGGGGAGTGAGTACTGAGCAGTACTCAATTCGGGACAGCACCAGCAATACGAAGCATTTTTCTGGCTGCCACAATATTTGCTTGGTTATGCTCCATAAAGTCAGGGCATCACACATCATTATTCCCAGGTCCTTTACTTTTGTTTTTCTTCTATCATATCTGTGTCTTGTACCCTTTACTTCGTTTATGTTCTAAATTTGTCCACATTATTAACATTTATAGATTCTATTAACAGTAATAGATTTCAGGTAATGTAATTACCTGGAATGTATTACCGTTAAACCATCATGCTATTTTCCATTACCCATCGAAGACTTGACTAACATCAGCTTGTAGTTTCTCAGTGAGTTTTTTTCATGCTGACTTTTGTATCATCTGCAAAACATGACACGAAGTTGTGATTTTATTTTTGTCTACAGAATAGCTGACATGAGAATGAGAAAAAGCAGAGGACTGTGCCTTGACGTGCACAACTTTCCACTGGACTTGAATTACTCGGACTGACTGTTGCTCTTTATATTGTCTGACAGGAAATTGATTATCCATCGCGCTACTTTACCCGTTATTCCCATTGATCTTATTGTATGGGGCGTCACTCCACGCTCACACTTATCAAAGTCCTTTCCAAAGTCCGTGTGTCCCGCATTGGTATCTTGTTCTCATGCCCACCACATAGACCACTCACATGCGCATACCACTCAGCTCCACATGCGCCCTTCCAAATGCGCAGCGCCACATGCGCTGCTCCACAGGCGCAGCTCCACATGCGCAGCTCCACATGCGCCCGTCCACATGCGGTGCAGCCATCCTGCCATGCACCGCAAGCACCTGGTGGCCCCAGCAGCTCCAGGAGTGAAAGTCATTCCTGAGCGGGTACTCCCTGATCTTGTGCGGCAGCCTGCTGGCGGGAGGGGGTGTCTTCTCTGGGGGAGCGGGGAGGAGGGGGAGAGAGAGGGACCATCATGAGGGCGCGTGCCACCCCATGAACCCCTCCCCCCACCCCAGGACCCCCCACCCCCCTCACACACCCCCTCACAGCGCCGCGCCTAACCATAACTCTTCGCTCTCTCCAGACAGAAGAGAACGCAGGGCAAGCGAGCGATAGTTCTGGGTCTTGAGCGAACCATTATGGAGCCGCCGTCGGGATGAGGCTGATGGTAATTTGGATGGTCGGTCATCACCTGTTGTTTTGGTTCAGCAGTGTTGCCACCATCGCCCCCCCCCCCCCGCTCCCCAGGGACACCCCCTCCTCCCCCCACTACCATCTCTTAGATATAAAGATTAAATAATTGTAATAATGGCTCTTGAAATACATGCAAATCAAGCATTTGGTGAAGGTAGGAATGGCGTCATTAAGGTGATAATGACAGCCAGGTGAGGTGCGGGCGGAGGGGGGTGGGGGGAGGGGAGGGAGGGGGCGTCATCTGGCAAGCCTGGGGCGAGGTGAGCACGTGGTGGCCCCCCGGGGGCCCCCTGCCACCTCACCACCCCCTACACCCCTGCAGGGGCAACCCCACGATCACCCTCCCCACACCCCATGCGGGAGGGGGGGGGTGAACTCAACCCCCCAGGAACTATCTGGCTCACCCCCCCCCCACCCCGACTGGGGGTGAGCCCTAACCTCTCCATACATTCCCCTGGTGGTTCCCCCTAGCCCCAGGGGACACGCCCATCTCCGCTGGGCAACCCCCAAGAGCTCCCTATGGGGGCAACCCCGCCCATCCATCACTCCCAGGGGCTCCCAGGGGCCTCCCCTGACGCACCCACCGACATCACAACATTATGGGGGTCCCCTGAGCCCCCTAGAACAACGCATGGTCAGTCTCCCCCCCCCCCCATCACACCCCCGGGCATCCCCCTGGCTTACCCAAACCCCGGAAACCCCCTGGAGTTGCCCCTCACCCACTGTAACCCCCCCCCTACCCCCCCTGACCACCAAATACTCCCTAGGGCTTCTCGCTAGGATGCCTGTACATCCCTTGAGGTTAATCCCCCCCCCCCTGTGGGAATCGTACTTTAGCCCTACGTTAGAATCTTGATCGTCAGAAACAAATGACTCTAGCCTCTTTCACCCTGATGCTCCTGATCACCTAGTAGTAAATGTGGTACCTGGGAGTTAGACAGCTGCTACGAGCTATTTCCAGGGGATGTGTGTACTCACCTAGTTGTATTTACGGGGGGTTGAGCTTCGGCTATTTGGTCCAGCCTCTCGACTGTCAATCAACTGGTGTACAGGTTCCTGAGCCTACTGGGCTCTATCATATCTACATTTGAAGCGTGTATGGAGTCAGCCTCCACCACATTACTGCCTAAAGCATTCCATTTGTTAACTATACGTGCTAAATGGTTTACCTTTATCTACTCTGTCAATTCCTCTGAGAATTTTATAGCTGCTGGTCATGTCTCCCCTAACTCTTCTGTCTTCCAGTGATCTAATGGGTTAAGTTGCAGTAAACTTTCCTCGTAGCTCATACCCCTCAGCTCGGGGACTAGCCTGGTAGCATATCTTTTCTAACTTCTTTTTGTGTTTCACTAGATATGGACTCCACGCTGTGTGTGTGTGTGTATGTGTATGTGTATGTGTATGTGTATGTGTGTGTGTGTGTGTGTGTGTGTGTGTGTGTGTGTGTGTGTGTGTGTGTGTGTGTGTGTGTGTGTGTGTGTGTGTGTGTGAGCAAAATATAGGGCGGGAGTCAATACTTTAGCCAAGCGACGGTTAGAAAGACGGGGTCCAAGAACTAAGAGCTCGACCGGGCAGGTATAAAGCGTAAACACTGCCCCCATCCTCAACCCCGAACACCCCTGAGTCAACCCCACCATCAAACTTAGACCACCCTGGGGGCACCCGCTGGCTCCTTGATCACCCCTGGGGGCTTCACATCACCCTGTACCCCCCCCCCCCCTGGGGCCCATATTGCCTCCTCTTTACCCATTGGGGTGTCCCCCCCCCCCACCTCCCCTCTAGCCACTCAACATGTGGAATGTTAGAGCTGATGCAGAACGAAGCTGTGAGGATCATTCTTCAATGTCAAAGAAATGCAATGATTGACGTAATGAGAATGGAATTAAATTTACAGAGTGTGTTATGATAGAGTCCGTGACATTAACACTAGAGTATCTATTGGCTTCACGAGGAGAGGAGGAGGAGGGGATAGACTGTGTCAGAGTGTTCACACTCGCTTGAGTGACCTAAGCACTTCCAGGACACTGAGACGTTCAACACGAGGAGATTGTCTAATGACCTCAGGGAATACAATGTACGTGACTGCTGTAAACCCTCTCCACAGTGTAATAGGTCTGCTCCCTGGAAAGTGCAGAAAATAGAAGTCAAAATTGTCCCCTCTCAAGGTGAAAAAAGAATCACCATGAACCGGGATAATTACGGTGTTTCTATGGAAGCATGATATCTCGGTTACCAAGAGGCAACAGCTTACATGTATATTGCGACGGGTCGGTGGCGGAGGATGGCAGGGCAGGATGTGGTGTCCTAATAAGGGAATATACTGAGTTTGGAACCGTGGACAGTAAAATTGAACTTCGACTTAGTAATTATATATCATCCACACAAGCTGAACTTCCGGCCATTCTGGCGTGTTTGGAGAAGTGCGTCATGACGAAAAAGATGTTTTCGTATTTGTCGATGACAGAGGAGCACTTGATTCCTTAAACTGTCGAAATCCAATCTTCATGTTCATAGTTGAGGATTGTAAGAAAATGAAAAATGAGATACAGCTGAAAGGTCACAATGTGAAATTCATGTGGATTCCATCTCATGTTGGACTAGTGCTCAACGAGGTGGCGGATGACCTGGCCAAACGCGCCACATCAACACCACAAGTTGACACTGAATGTTTTAACAGTGAGACAAATAAGAAACAAACTCAGAAACATTCAGGCACAGGCAGGAGTGGCGAGGAGAGGTATAATGTATGAGGGAAGTCAAACCATGCAACACTACATGTGTGCGAGTCAAAACACCCATTACACTTATGGTAAAAGGAGAAATGCTTGGAGTGACTGTACACATGCGGCTCAGGCTTGGGTACAAATATTACTGGCAATATGGAACAGGTGTTAAGGTCTCACACCCTCACCCATTATGTTCTTGATTGTCCGTTGATTAATGTCTACAGAAACACTGAGATAAGGACTGTTCCTGGACAAACAGCCTGGATGTGTCACAAGGGAATGATTGAGGATATTCTGGAGAGACATAAAAATTTTGCACAAAAATTGTAACCTTTTGTTGAATTGTCTGAATGTCTACTGCAAATGGTTTGTGTGTACGTGTATGTGTGCGTACGTGTATGTGTGTGTACGTGTATGTGTATGTGTACGTGTATGTGTGTGTACGTGTATGTGTGTGTACGTGTATGTGTGTGTACGTGTATGTGTACGTCTGGTAACATACTGTATGAGTAAAGGAAGAAATGTATATATTT